GGGGGGGGGGCGGCGGACGAGTGGCGAGCGAAAGGGCGCGACGCGGTACGGGGCGGTACGACGTGTGCAGAAGTCGGGCCGCCGAGAGGCGCCCGTTGTTGCATGTTGTGGACAGCTGCATGATGGGGGGGGCAAGCGATGGTCCCTGCGGGCAGGCGGGGGAGCGCAGGGTGGAGGGGGCCGGGGCTGCGGCGCGCGGAGCTGTGCAGGGCTCACCACATGGCCATGCTGCGGGCGACGGCGGCGGCGAAGAACAGGCCAGACGCCACGGTGACCAGCGGAGGCCACTCGACAGCCGCCTGCGGCGGTCCGACCAGTCGCGGGACCGGTGTGCGCATGTGTGCGTGTGTGTATGTGTGTGTGTGTGTTTGAGTGTGTTTGTGTGTGTGTGTGTGTGTGTGTGTGTGTGTGTGTGCACATGCACGCACGCACGCCCACGCACGCGCGCACAGGGCCGAGGGTACGAAAGCAGCCGCGCTGGGCGGTGATGTGACGTCGCAGCTACGCGGCCGACCACTCCCTGGCAGGCATGCACGCTGCCACTTGTCACCCGCCGCGCGGCAGCCACCTCTTCTCAATGGTGCACCCTCAAACCCCCCCCCCCCGCACAGCCACCCCGGCTGCGCCGCGCCCCGCGCCCACCTCAAGCGTGATGACGAAGGATACCGTCCCGGCCGCGACTGCCAGCTGCTGAAACACCATGCCCAGCCTGTTGATGCCCTGAAGCAAGCAGGGATTCAAGAAGCGAGCAGCGATTCGGGTCACAGAGGGAGCCCGAGAATCTAGGAGCAACGCAGCTCCGCCGCGCGTCAGGCATGCAGCAGCAGTGTGCGCAGCAGCCCCAGGCCCCTTGAACCCGGGTGCCGCGCCTGCCGACCACACCCACGGGCGCGCCGCGGCCCCCCCTGCCTCGTCAGGCTGGGCGGCAGCCGCGGCGGGCACCGGCCCATGCGTGCGGCCCCGGTCTCCAGCCAACCTGGAACGTGTAAGCCAGCTGCTTGCGCTCGTTGCCCGTGTCCAGCACGCGGCCGAAGCTCTCCGCGCCGTAGCGCAGCAGGCCCGCCACCAGCAGCGAGTCCATCCAGGTGGCGACGTCGCCGACCGTGACGCCACTGAACAGCACCTCCGGCGCCTCAGACACCTCAACGCCCTGGGGGGAGGGGGCAAGGTCGCATGAGTCTGTTTGCTGCTGTCGAGCTCGCCCCACCATGTGATTCGTGCATAATAGTGCATGCATGCGTGCGAATGGCACGTCAACGGTGTACTGTCAAGGGATTCGGCGCGGCAGCTGGGTTGATGCAGGCGGGCAGCACGTGGCCGCTTGGCCAACTCCTGTGGTTGGCGATTCCCGCGGTGCCCCGCGGCTCACGCTGGCGGCCACGACCGACAGCGCGACAGAGGCGAGGGCGACGCCGAAGAACGCGTTGGAGCAGCCCAGCATCTCCTCGCGCAGGCCGTCGATGATTTTGACCTGCAGGGACGGGGGCATAGGGGGTGGCCGGCGCGGTTGGGTAGGGGTGGAGGGGGCGCGCGGTGCTGTGCTCCCAGGGGCCGCGCCAACGTGTGTGCAGCAAGAGGCGGCCGGTCGGTGCCTGCATTGCCCTGGGCAGCATTCCGCTCGCCTGCTGCCCGAGCGCCCCCTGCGAAAGGGGGCTGCCCGAGCACCCCCCGCGAAAGGGGGCAACCTTGGCACAGGGCGCAGTCCCCGCTCTAGAGCCGCTGCCGCTGCTCAGTCTCCGACGCCATGCGCGGCGCGGCGCAGCCGCTCATGACCCTACGCCATGCCCGGGGCGTCCCGCCCTTCTTGCCTGCCCCTTGGAGAGTGCGTAATCCACCACCAGCTCCTGCTCAATAAACTCGGATGACGCGGGCAGGTCATCCAGGCTGTCGAGCGACGCAAGCCCGGCCAGCGAGGCGCGCGGCGCCGCGCGCGGCGCCATGCGGATGCCGGAGACTCCGATGGTGGGGACGTCGCTGCTCAGGCCCCGCGGGGGCGGCGCCGTGGGGCCAAGGGGGGCGGGGGAGGGGTCGCCTTCCGCGGCGGCCGAGGTTTGGGGTGCCTCCAGCGCGGCAAGGCGGAAGGCCTGTCGGAGAGGCCGTGAGTGCCTGCGAGTTCGTGGTCATACCCCGGCGATATGCGTCAACGGGTGCATGCGCGAATGATGGTTCAGCATCAAGTATGCGCATTGCTCCGCGTGGCGCGCTTGCCGGAGTGCGCCAGCACACTGCGTCTGCAATGCACGTATCGTCGGAGCGCGCCGGACGGCTGTGCCACGCGCATCGCGCAATCAGCATGTTCTCGCCTGCTGATCGCGATGGTGCATTGATCCTGAAAGGGCAGCCTTGACCGGACCGCGTGCACTGCCACCGGGCGCGCACAGCGACGTGCGAGCACCTCCATTGAGTGATAATAAGGTCAGTTGTGGTCTCAAATGTGCTCTTTCGCCAGCTGCTGATGTGACATTTACGATCTCAAGGCTTGTGTCACTGGAGACTTCTGGTCACATCAGGGGACCAACAGCTCGTCACAAGTGCCTGATGTGCGATGCATTGGAGTTGCGTCGAGGCCTTCGTTTGGCTTCCTAATCCGTGAGGAGTGAACCCGCTTCTCGGCAGCTTCCCTGTCAGAACACATCACGAGAATCCTCGACATGTGTCTATGATTCAAACGGAATGATATCTTTCCAACAACCTTGATGGGTCAGTCCCAGCCTACGGTAGAGCACGCTGGCTTGTCGTGCCTCGCCTTTTGTCGAACAACGTTGGCATCAGCGCTGTGCAAGCATCCATAAAACTAACTAGACAAGCAATTACTCGTAGCGGGGGCCGCCGGCGCACTGCACGCCAGCAGTCGTGCGGCCCGAGGCACCCGAGGCAGCATTGGTGATGCGGGCGCAAACGGAAATGGCACGGCAGGCGCAGGCCCACGCGCAATCAGCCGAGGGCGTCCCGGAAGAGAAGGGATGCGGCGCGCTCCAGCCGCCGATCGACGCCTCCTGGCTCATCAACGGGAACGACGCCGGGGCACCGGCAATCGCCGTGGTGGTGCAGCAGGCCCCCACAACAGCCAGGCGGCGATGGGCGTTTACAAGCAGCAGCAGGCCGGCTGGCGGCAGCGGCGGCAGCGGCAACTGCGACAGCTCCCCCAAGCACTGGGGCGCGGCGGGCCAACACCCGCTGCAGCGCCGCCGCTCGTCGAGCAGCGACGGCTCCCCGCCGCCCGCCCGCCCGCGCTGGGCGGCCTGCTGGCGGCGTGGCGGCCGCCGGCGCGCTCTTCTCGCCCTGCTACTGCTCGCCCCGGGCGCCCAACTTGCATGTTGGGGCCTGATGAGAGGCGCGGCCTCGTTCATCGGCCCGTCATCACCAGCCATCCTGCCAGGCACCGCCCCTGCTGGCCGTGCTGATGCAGCCTTGCAGGTGGCTTCGGACGTTCGGGAGCTTCCGCTCACCTACCTGCCAGACAGCGGGGCCACCACGCTGGTCTTGTATGTGTATGCAGAAACGGACTCAGAATCGCGCCACAACCTCGATTTTTTTGTGCGGGAGGCCATCGTACGCGGCAACGCCGATATGCCCGCCGCAGCCGACGAGGCAGCCCTGGGCGCTGGCAGCGGCGAAGCGGCGACGGCCGCAGACCGCGCCGACTATTTGCTTTTGCTGCAGCACGACGACCACCATGCGGCGGCCGCGGCGGGGCGCCTGCCTGCGCTGCCATCAAACGCACGCTACATCTGGCACCAGAACGAGTGCTACGACTGGGGCACCTTTGGGTGGCTGGTGGGTGCAGAGCGTCGCTTTGCCGCGGTCTGTTGTGGTCCCCGGGTGTCCAGGCACTCGTGAGCAAGACGCGGTCGCTTGCCGGGTCATGAGCAAGTCCACATTCAGGGTTGGTCGCACACACACGCAGGACAACTCAACCCCCTTGCCACACATCCCCTGCTGCATCGGTTGCAGCTGGACCAGGAGCCCATGCGTGCCATGTTGGGGCGCTACAAGCATTTCATCTTCCTGAACAGCAGCGTCAGGGGCCCCTTCATGCCCGCATACTTGCGGGGCCTCATGCACTGGACAGAGGCCTTCATAGGGTGAGCGCCCGCAGCGCACCCCGGGGAGGATTAGATAAAGGGGTGGCTGCGGGCAGTCGCTACCTGCTTTGCTGCAGCGGGATGTGCATACACAAACCTTGTGCAGTCGTCGCGTAGTAAATGCAAGCCCGGCCGCAAGTAAGCTAATTCAGCACGACTGCTGGCCACCCCTTGCGCCACGTGTCGTCATCAGTCACTGCTGGCAACAAAGGTCCGCTTGGTAGCTGCGGCCAGCGCCTCTGCAACAGTCTCGGTTTTGGCTCTGCGCCCGTGGTTCATGACACCCTCGCTCATATTCACTCTGCGCCCACAGGATCTTGAAGGACGGCGTGAAGTTTGTCGGCCCTTCCATAAACTGTGAGGGCGCCGGCGAGGAGCAGCCCCTCGGCCCTGCCTTTGCTGCTGCGGGCGGCCCCGCCCCGGAGCCGCAGGTGTGGACGCCGCACGTGCAGTCTTACGCGGTCGCGACGGACATGGACGGCCTCGCACGGCTGCGGCGCCACAGCGCAGTCTTCAGGTGCCACAGGGGGCGGCTGGACGCCATCAGAGCCGCGGAGGTGGGGGCGTCGGCAGCGATGCTCGCGGCAGGCCACAGGATCTCGTCCTTTCAGCTCAAGTGAGTGGGGGCGACACGCTGGTGGTGCAATTTGTGTTGTGGGCACTTGACCCTGTAGGACTTGCATTGGGAGAGCCAGATGAGGCTCGGCGCGAAATTGCGGTGCAGCGACTGAAGCCCGACTCGTTGCTCATGTGGATGGTGTGGCTGCATGTGGGCTTGCATGTGTGACGAGAGACACCCCCGACAACTTGGCACTCGGGCATCGCTACGCGGTGTTTGTGTGTGCCTTCAGGTACTCGGACCAGATTGACTGGCGCAGCCTTGAGGCCTGGGGCTGCAACGCCAAGGTTAATCCGACCAGCGCCGCGACCCACTATGACGGCGGCTCCTTAGATCCCCTCGAGGCGATGTTTGTGAAGGTCAAGGCGGCGCAGGCGAGTGCGCCGTGGGTACGCAAGGCAGTGGCGTACGAGAGGTGGCGGCGCGCAGAGGACGGACCTCAGGTCGAGCGCGACATTACGGGTGCGTTTGGGCATGGTGACGTCGATGAAGTCGTTTGCGCACGTGCCTCTGTACCCGTGTGTGTGTGTGTGTGTCCACACGTGCGTGCGTGCGTGCGAATTGTGTGTGCGTGTGCATGCATGCAACATGTCGCGAACGTCAATAGGATGGTTATTGGGAGCCTGAGGCCACAAAGAAGAGAGCGTCGTGATACCAGCAAGGAATGCTGTAAACGTTTTCCCTGCACTGTCACTCCCCACATACCTGTGTACGGATCCCACTCACGCAGCGCTCGCACCACCACACGCCCCGTGGCAGGCAACGAGGTTTACTCCGATGCGGAGCGCATATCCCAGCGCTACATGCAGCGCGTGCTGCAGGCCCTTCACGGGCCACTGGACCCAGCATCAGCAGCACATACCGACGCCGCTGATGACTACGCAGGCATGGCGACCACGGATGCTGTCACAGAAACGGCGAACGGCGGCCTTGGGGGTGCGTCAGCGTATGGCGGACTTGGCAGCGCCATGCAGCTGGTGGCGGAGCCTCCTGACAATGGCCATGGGCTGCAAGCCGACATGTATGGCCTCTACGCGGGATACATAGGACAGTTTGTGTAGTTGCTGTTGGTATGTGCTGCCAGTTGCCTTGTGCGCAAACGTTTGGTTTGCTTTGGGCCCCTAAGGGCACCAGCTGAGCAAACTGTCCTGATCAATGTGGCACCCCCACGTAAGAAGTGCCGCCCATTTATTTGAAGCAATGTTGGGGCCTGTTGCGAGGCAGGATACGTACGACGCTGCAATTCTGGGCCTGGCAAGATGGTGCTGTTGCAGAGCAGATGCATGGGGCGTGTTGTGCCAGCGTGCCAGGTCGGCACTATGGAAAGGCTGAAATGGATGGACGGTATCATGGAGGCTGTTCTTGGATGGCAGGGGCCGGGACATTTCTGGCTGTTTTTGTGCGGGTTTTTGGGGTGGTCGGTGGGTGGGTGGCTGGAGTCAAGAAAGATAACATGGCGCAAAAAGGATTGTGCTGCTTGGGTGTGCAGGCTCTCGGCGCAAGGAGTCTGTTAGGTATCTGGCTGGGGCTTCAATTACAAACACTGGAACAAAATGTTCGGGCGTCACGAGCCGTACTCTTGGGTGCACCTGATAACAGCAGATGGCAGTGGGCAGCTACCTGAGCCAAGCTGCACTCTGCTGCCTCGGCATTCCCGGACTGGCGGCGGTGAGCGTCTCAGCACGGCTGAACATCCGGGTGCGTCGCCCGGGTCAGGCGGGCGGGCAGGCCGCGCGTGTGTACGACACTGTACATATTGCCACAATACCCCTTGTCATGCACCCAATCGTAGGCTGAAATTTCACTCTTGAGTGGCGTGGGAGAGAGGTTCGTTGCAACGTCACACCCTGCTGACGCCGTGCACAGGCAAGCCTCAGGTTCCATGAGTGCGAGATGGTATCAAAGGGCTGCGCATCTCTGGGCGAGAGGGAGGCGTGAGGGAGGGCCTGGCCGTACCAAGATGACAAACCTGTGCCAGGTGGACCAGTGGAGCCACAAGACATGACATCGCAAGGGACCAAAAGTGACAGGCAGCACCGCTGACCCAAGACCCAACAACATCGAGCAACCACCTGCACATATCTGTATGCGAATTGAGCCGAGCCAGGCGTGATCTCAGACAATCACCAGACTTCTCCCCTCGCAGCACGCAACATGCTCCGAGGAATCTCGTCCACCATACGCCCAGGTTTGGGACATCGACCACAAACGACCATCACAGCGCTGGATGGGAGCAGTTCCACCGCGTTGTGGCGCTCGCAGCGGCACCAGCAGGCGCAGCATGAGCGGCAGCAGCTGTGCATGCAGGGCCAGCAGCAGCAACAGC